CATCTGAGGGGGCTGGGAGAAGAAGGGACACTCCAGGGCCAGGGGTCTCGACCATCTGATTGACGCCCACTTCCACCTGGACCGGACATGGGCGGCATCGCTTTGGGAGGGCCCCAGGGGACCACTCCCGAACTATTGGCCTCCGCGCCAGAAGTGAGTCACCCATTCGGTGAGCTGCCTGTCTGGGGGGTTGAAGTATACTGCGACCCCCCTACGTTTCCTCAGCGAATCAACAATGACCCAAGATACATCACCGCGGTCGGAATCCACCCAAAGAAGGTCGCAGGCTTGACGGACAAGGTGTTTAGGCAGATTCTTGGTTTCTGGAAGGACGCCCGATGCTTAGTGGGGGAGGTCGGGTTGGATCACTCAGTCCCGGCGTGGGAGTGGAGAGGCCAGGAATCCGCCCTGAAGGAGCTATTGCCACATGTCCCAGCCGGGCGGGTGGTAATAGTGCATGTGAGGGGACCCGCGGGAGATGAGGAGGCGGGGGCAACCCACGCCGGGCAATACAAAATCCTGAAGGGGATCTTACCGCCACAACAGCCAGTGCACGTGCACTGCTTCACGGGTGGAGAGGAAACAGTGCAGGAATGGTTAAAGGCATTCCCCCGGGCCTACTTCGGCTTCACGGGCCGGGTGCAAGGATTTAAGTCAGGCCAAGTGGCTGGTCTGAGAGCGGTGCCGGGTGACCGACTGCTGTTGGAAACAGACTCCCCACACATGCCACCCAAGGGGTATCGCGTCAACTCCCCGGCACTGCTGTGCCTGATTGGAGATATGGTGGCTGGGAAGAGGGGGATGAGCACCAAGGAGCTGCTGGTGGCTACAACTGCAAACGCCGCTCAGTTGTTCGCCTTGTAGAGAGGCGGAGAGCCCACCCCACGGGGGAGTGGGGCATGAAGGAGAATGATGAGTTGAGAGGTTTTCACCCTAAGGAGGGGGTGAAGGGGGAAATGAAGTGTGAAGAATTCTGGGTTCCTCGCCAATGGGAACGTAGGACAAGGGACATGTGGAGAACTGTGTGTCATATTCCATAGGAGGTGGAGCCCGACTATATGGTGCAAGGTACAGTTGGTGCCACCCTAACCGAGGAGTTGATTGGGGATAAGGATGTGTTGAACTGTTGGTTCCACCCGAAAGGGCGGGTGTGATTCCGAGGAGGGGGCTGGGGATCACCCGCTCATGTGAACAATCTGATAAAGGGATGGACCCTGGAACCTGGAGAAACAGGGAGTGGTTTCTCCGGGTGGGCATTCATAAGGAGACCCCCCCATTGGGGAAAGTTAACACGGGGGGTGTGATGGCGTTGTTCCGCGGGAAGGGGCCTATAAAACAGGGAGGGATGTGGTGATCGGAGCTGTCAACCGGAAGTTGGAGGACTCGACGGAAAGTGCCGGAGACAGCCGATCGCCACAGCGAGTTCGTGGAAGCCATTTTGTAAGTATGAATTGCCTGTTTCAAGGGTCTACCCTAAACCGTAGATTTGGGCGCTAATACTTGCAAGGTGCGAGCCACGGCTTACTCCACAGTGATCTAGTATCGTAGTGGACACGGTGATCACTACACTACTCTATTTGACCAAAGGGGTGACAGGTGGCCAAAACATATTGAAATGTAGGTCATACACTGAAAATAACTCTGATTTAAAACACTACAAATATACACCTTCTCTCTAATATACTCGATAGATGATCTTAACAAGGGAACATGTACATAAAACGCTGATATCTAACAACACCTGTACTTCAATTAATGGACTCTTCCAAATCTCAGTATGTTTCACTGCACACATATTAGATTGCAAATAATGAAAAACCTACCCTTTGACAATAATAAAAAACATCATATTCAAATTCTACAGCTGACCAAATACCCGAAGAGTGTTTCCAGCAATAAACATCTCTTTGTATCTATAAATGTATGACTTCTGTCCTCTCGCGTGCTATCTTGCATCCAGCTGTTTACGGCGAAAAACAATATGGCGCCAAGCAAGGGAGTGCTCATTAAACTAAACATCTCCGGGAGAAATCATTGTCATTTTTTTCTCTTAAATTTTAAACCTTATATATATAAATGAAAATAAAGACCAACTATTATCACCAAAAAGACCAAACATTATCACAAATATTCAAAACAGGTGGTAATGAAAGAGCATTATCATCTTTCTCTTAAACTTTGTGGTGGATGGATATACTGGAAACAAGTGAAATGTTAAAACGTGTTACCTTAGCCTTGTCCTTTATGTGATCCACAAAATTGTTGCCACCCAGTCTTCGAAGATGAGATTTCTGCAAAATTCCATTAAAATAATCTTATTTCATAATTAAATGTTCCTTACATTAAAATTACTTCTTTTGTATGTAAGATTTTAACCTTTAAGAGACATGAATTATCATATCCCTTCCAAACAAGTGTAAGAATGAAAGACTGTGGGTGCAGTTTTGTTAATTGTCTCATCAAAGAATCATTAGTGAAGTTACACTTTTGTAAATAAATAAAAGTTCAAATAAATTATATACAATTTCATCCTTAACAAAGACTTTCACAAGACATTTTAAAGTGAAAAATTTTCGTTGCATTTCCTTACGCCATTCTCCACCACCCCTCACCCCAATAATATACATATGTTGACACAGGTTCAGGGCGTGCTCAATGCATCATTTACTGATAGATCTATTCAAACGAACAAATGTTCATAATAATGGGATGCAATATAAAATGTTGATTAATCCTATCCGAATTTGTATAGTGTATAGCTGCCCTTAGGGACCGTTCATAATGTATGGCTTTGGGGTGATGTTGATTTTATGTACAATGTGAATTACATCCCCGCCTAAAGTGTATGAGTATGTACAGAATAAGAGACGGCCAACCCTGCATGTCGTGTACATTATCTATGACGCCCTCTCCTTCCCATAATTTCTAAACATAGTGCGTACAAAATGCTGACCCCTTAGCTCCCCTGAACAAAATGGGTGACACCCCCACCCACCCTCCAACCCTTACAATCAACACCCCCACCCGCAGCCATATATTTAATTATGAACGGTTCCTTATATTGATGTACTTCATTGATTATTTGAAAATGTATATTTGCAAAATTCAGATCAGGTGATGGGTACGAAAGGAAATCTTATTCGATTCTATAATAAAATGCCAAATATATGCATGCAAATATATTGAAAAATAACAAAACAAGTTCATGGAAAACACAGGCTTCCACTAAATTTTGAGAAACATGTACATACCGGTAACCTTGTGAGATAAAAACATGAGCCCTAATTCGGAGTTTCTTGCTACTGCTAGATTTAAACGGCATTCCTACGTTTCCATTATACATGAAGGACATACTTTTACCAAATAAACACCAGCATGCCGTGAAGATGGTGAAAATAGAACGATATTGCGTTGAACTTCGCCAAAGTGAACTGACAACGATCAGCTGCCTTTGCGCGCGATAATTGTGCGCATGTCCGGATATGGCCAAACGAGGCGATCGGAAGGTCAACATCTGGCTTGTGTTTGAAAGCAAATTGTCGGGAATTATACAATTTTCACAGTTTTGTGGGAAAATCAAAATGTAATGCAATTTGATAACTGATGACTTTATACCTAAAACTGCGATTTACGTAATATTTCCGTCCGTTGATCGATGCACAATCAAATAATATATAAGATTATATCTGTCACTAGCTCGATCTTGATCTTTTATGAAAATAATGTTCCGAAATGATAGTTGCTAAGTTGGATACCTATTACCAATATGAATTATGTATCAAATTTGCCAAGGAAACAATTAGTTGACATTTTGTTGGTTCCTTACGTTGAAACAACGTTGACAACTAAACGAATCTCGACTAACTTTCTTTAGTCGCATGATAAACGTTGAATCAACGTTTATGAAAGGTTGATCAACCAAACAACCAAAATTCAACGTTGATTCAACGTTGATTCAACGTTGTGTGCCCGCTGGGATCACACTCAGGCTAGTACCACGCACAGACTAGTATCACACTTAGACTAGTATCACACTCAGACTAGTATCTCTACTCGACTAGTATCACACTCAGACTAGTACCACGCACAGACTAGTATCACACTTAGACTAGTATCACACTCAGATTAGTATCTCTACTCGACTAGTATCACACTCAGACTAGTAATACGCACAGACTATTATCACACTTAAACTAGTATCTCTACTCGAGTAGTATCACTCTCAGGGTAGTTCACACTCAGACCAGTATCACACTCAGACAAGTATCTCTACTCGAGTAGTATCACTCTCAGGCTAGTACCACGCACAGACTAGTATCACACTTAGACTAGTACCACGCACAGACTAGTATCACACTCAGACTAGTACCACGCACAGACTAGTATCACACTCAGACTAGTACCACGCACAGACTAGTATCACACTTAGACTAGTATCTCTACTCGAGTAGTATCACACTCAAACTAGAATCACACTCACACTAGAATCACACTCAGACCAGTATCTCTACTCGACTAGTATCACACTCAGACTACTATCACACTCAGACTAGTATCATGCTCAGACTCACTCAAAAGTGCATATCACGTTGCTCATACAAAATATAATCTATATTGCGAATAAGATTCACAGGAAAACCTGGCCCCAAAATGACCTTACAGGTAAATGGACATGATTAGCGATACATGTTGAGTACTGCGTCACAAAATGAACCTTGTCATTAAAGTTATTTTTTTAACAACTGCTCTCAGAGGTAATCCTACCAACACCGAAGGATACACATGCTTCTTACACAAAGTGCTTCCATTCATGTTGATCAATGTTTGTGTTTAATAGTTCTGTTTTGTACAATAGATGACTTTTATATTTTAATAATACAACCCCCACAACCGTTGAAATAATAATTCATAAAACTCATCCACGATTTCATCACACGCTTAAACATGCAATAGCATTGTATCTTAGTTTTATGCCTGATATGAGGTTTTGTTGTGTGTAGAATTACAAGCCCCCACTAGGAAAGGACATTCCTATTGACTTCCGTATCCAGTTCCTCAAGAATGCTCCCAACCCACGTGGAGTCCTGAGGGCCAAAGGTAAAGGATGGGTACTGTATGAAGCAGTCCTGACATAAAAAAGGAATGTTGACTGTGTTGGTACCACTGCTTACATCAGTTACATAGATACATAGTTCAACCTTCAGCACAATGATTTCAACGATCGTATGATGTACTGCTCAGTGTACATCTGACAGGTTAATACATCATGTGTATTCATTTAATCGTGGTTATGGCAGTTGTCGTTTACATACATCCACCAGAAATCTATGGTATCAGCAGAGTATTGAACGATTTCCAATGTATGTGTGTTTATGAACTAACTATAAGGTGAGGTGAGGTGAAATTGGGTTTTACGTCGTGCTTGAGAATAGTTCGCTCATATGACGACGTGCATGCGTGTGTATGTGTATGTGCGGCTGCTTGTACTAGCCCAGACTGAAGCTGGTTTTATAGTGCTTGCCCACTGAGGTACCATGCTGCAGTGAAGCATGAATACCCCACTCAGACACATTATACTGACTCCAAGCCGACCAGTCCTTATTATACCCATTAATGCCGAGCGCCAGGCTGGGATCAACAAGAACCATATTTTAACGTCTTTTGGTATGACGTGGTCGGGGATCGAACCCGCGACCTTCCGCTCTCCGGGCGGACGCTCTAACCACTACACCACGGAGGCGGTCAGCTAACTATAAAATAGTGCTGATAACAAGTGTTCGCGAATACTTCCTCAGCAGTGACACTCGTCATTAACACATGCAGAGTCGAAACAATTCTTCAACTGCAAAAGATACTGCACAAATGAAAATAGACACAGCATTTTTTTCGCTGGAACTGTTTTCTTCTTAGGCCTAAACTTTATAACCGTGCTCGAGAAACAATCGAGCATGGGTCGCATGACGCTCTATTTAATTTTCTTAGAAAGAACATTGACTTGTATCAGAATCTTGTGTTTAGATGCATGATTATGTTTTAACCAGCGTTTAAAATTCCTGCCTGCCCGACCGTCCGGAACGGTGTATTTACATCTCGGACGGTCAAATTTCAAAAAGTTGCCTGTCCGGTGGTCTGGTAGATATTTTTACCCCTAAGAGTAAATATTTCATAATATCTGACAGGTTTTCTTGTCGTCAGTTTGAGGTGTTTAAGGTATGATGATAATTATGTTAAACTACTTACGATTGGACAGTTCATGTTACGATAACCAATCACAATCATGTACTTTCAGTTAACCTAAACTCGGTGCATTGCCTGTTAGTGCTATGTAGTTCATTGCGATGCCTACCAACAGTGAATGGAGCTTGCGCGAGTTGGAAATGGCAGTCACAGTTTTTAATTGTTGAAATCCGGACAGTCAAGTTTGTATCCGGACTGGTAATTTTTTTTTAAGTTACCAGTCCGGCTGTCTGGCTTGGAATTTTGGAGTTTTAAACACTGTTTTAACAGATTCAGCTGTAAGTACATGCAGCCATGATGATTTGTCAACATGTGAATAAGTGTCCATGGTACATGGAAGAATGTACTGAGTTGATGAGCAATCAAAGAACAGCTACCATGTAACGTGTGTATGCTCACATTACAGTAGATTACGGGCACAAACTGGCTCACCTACACCCTGTTCATATTTTTCTGAAACAACCATAGAAACCTGCCTTTAATTTGTGTCTCCATACATTATGATGGTGTTCCGTTTCAGCTGTAGGCGAGCCGCCCCTGTGCATGGCTGCATCAGCGTTGTTTGCCGTAAAACATGCCATCGAGGCTGCCAGAAAGGAAATATCGAAGGACGTATTCTTCCCATTGGGTATAAATCATTACAGTTATTAACCCTATGCGAACTCTTTAAGCATTGATACTGTTTCGAATTTCAAATGATGGTGCCCTTTCTTTAATCCAAAATTGAAAGCGTCCAGAACAAAAACCATCCATACATAGTATCTGTGGATTGAAGTCAGCAATCCTGCATCTACAACATGTGAAGTAAAGTAGCCCAATGGTTAAAGCTTTTGCTCATCACGCCGTAGGCCCTTGTGCAATACATTATGGGTACAAGGCGTGAAGCCAATTTCTGGTGTCTTGCTAGTTGACATTGCCGGAACATTGCAAAAAGCAGCGTAAAACGACTCAGCGACGTCAGCAACTCACTGTTACCGAGCAAGTGAATTAGTTTAGTTTTACCCCGCTTTTAGCAATATTCCAGCAATAGCACAGCGGGGTACACCAGAAATTGGCTTCACATTGTACCCATGTGGGGAATCGAACCCGGGTCTTCAGCGTGACGAGTGTTACCAATCAAGACTTCATCAAACTGTTATCTTTGCAGATGGTCCAGCCACGGTGGAAGCTATTCAGACAGCATGTCAAGTTGACAGCTCACAGTTTGTGTATGGGACATAGTTACACATGTCCATCAGCAGACCACAGGGCCTTGTTCATCTGATGTAGGACGCGCTCAAAAGGAGTGTGGAGCCAGGAGGGCTATGTGAAGCTTCAGAGGAGGACTGTGGGAACGTACCTATGAGCTATATTTATCTGCCATCCACGATGACTGGCAGCCGACGTGTGGAGCTCATATGTGCCTACCATATGATACAGATCATCCACATCACTTAGTTTCATTTAATGTTAAACTACAGTTTGATATTTCAAGTGCTGAATTACATGAACACGTAACTCAATACTCAACATAGACATATCTGTGGAGTATCAAGGTGACATCTATGTACAGCAAACTTTTACTCATGTTGCATCCAAAGCTGTATTACACTTGGACATCCAATCGTTGTATATCATTAAGAATCCATTGTTATTAGCAAATCGGAGATTACGCGCAATAATATATTTTGAAATATATTTGGAAGTGATACTATTTTCTTTAATCCACTGAGTTATCATGTTCACGAGGTGACATACTTCAATACTTCCATGACAATAGATATATGTCTTCACTCGTCCCCTGTATAAACGTGTTGTATTACAAAATGAGAAAATCCATTGATTCATATATTTTCGATGTCTGCATTTGCTTATAAACGTATATGTGTAATTTATGTTATACACTGAAAAATAATAAAGGACCCTTGATTCGTTCATATTACTGTAGCTAATGGACCTCAGATTCGTACATATCACTGTAGCTAATGAACCTCAGATTCGTTCATATTGCTGTAGCTAAAGGACCTCAGATTCGTTCATATTACTGTAACTAATGGACCCCCGATTCGTTCATATTACTGTAGCTAATGGACCTCCGATTTGTTCATATTACTGTAGCTAATGGACCTCCGATTCGTTCATATTACTGTAGCTAATGGACCTCCGATTCGTTCATATTATTGTAGCTAATGGACCTCCGATTTGTTTATATTACTGTAGCTAATGGACCTCCGATTCGTTCATATTACTGTAGCTAATGGGCCTAAGATTCGTTCATATTACTGTAGCCAATGAACCCCCGATTCGTTCATATTACTGTAGCTAATGGACCTCCGATTCGTTCATATTACTGTAGCTAAAGGACCTCCGATTAGTTCATATCATTGTAGCTAATGGGCCTAAGATTCGTTCATATTACTGTAGCTAAAGGACCTCCGACTCGTTCATATTACTGTAGCTAATGGACCTCCGATTCGTTCATATTACTGTAGCTAATGGGCCTAAGATTCGTTCATATTACTGTAGCCAATGAACCCCCGATTCGTTCATATTACTGTAGCTAATGGGCCTAAGATTCGTTCATATTACTGTAGCTAAAGGACCTCCGACTCGTTCATATTACTGTAGCTAATGAACCCCCGATTCGTTCATATTACTGTAGCTAATGGACCTCCGATTCGTTCATATTACTGTAGCCAATGAACCCCCGATTCGTTCATATTACTGTAGCTAATGGGCCTAAGATTCGTTCATATTACTGTAGCCAATGGACCTCCGATTCGTTCATATTACTGTAGCTAATGGGCCTAAGATTCGTTCATATTACTGTAGCCAATGGACCTCCGATTCGTTCATATTACTGTAGCTAATGGGCCTAAGATTCGTTCATATTACTGTAGCCAATGAACCCCCGATTCGTTCATATTACTGTAGCTAAAGGACCTCCGATTCGTTCATATTACTGTAGCTAAAGGACCTCCGATTAGTTCATATCATTGTAGCTAATGGGCCTAAGATTCGTTCATATTACTGTAGCTAAAGGACCTCCGACTCGTTCATATTACTGTAGCTAATGAACCCCCGATTCGTTCATATTACTGTAGCTAATGGACCTCCGATTCGTTCATATTACTGTACCCAATGAACCCCCGATTCGTTCATATTACTGTAGCTAATGGGCCTAAGATTCGTTCATATTACTGTAGCCAATGGACCTCCGATTCGCTCATATAACTGTAGCTAATGAACCCCCGATTCGTTCATATCACAAAATCAAAAGTAACGTTTTTATTTTTTAGACAAACGTTATGAAACTTTTTTCCAGAGTTGGTCTGATGTTTTCATTACATTCTGCTTTTAAGTAAATGTTTGATCATGAACCGATTTGGAGTTAGATTCTGAGTCATCGGTATCATTTTGACCCAAAAAGACAGTAGATATATGTTGATGTACATATATATGTTGGTGCAAAATGTCTTAATTTAATAATCATAATTCATTAAATGAATTAATAAAACTATAGTTTATACCTAATGTTGTCTTTTTTATCTGGGCACATACCATTATTATCAAGGGTACAGCTATATTAAGCCTGATGCAACCAAACATAAAATGTGTTGTTTCAAGCGGTCTGTCTTTTGGGAGATAGGTGAGGTGAGGTGAAATTGGGTTTAACGTCGTGCTTGAGAATATTTCGCTCATATGACGACGTGCATGCGTGTGTATGTGTATGTTCGGCTGCTTGTACTAGCCCAGACTTAAGCTGGTTTTATAGTGCTAGCAGTATATGTTATTCTGTTTCAGATTCCAGACGGATAGTCAAATGCTCATTGTAATAAAAGCCAGTGTAGGAACTGAATAAACCACTCTCTCATACGTACTGTATAAGATCAATTTAACAAGGAATTCATTATTAGCCCCGTATTTTGCGTACATAGTGCAAAATGGGTTTTTATTTTTAAGCAAATGTCTGGGAAAATGTTCTGAGTAGACTTTTCATTATGTCAAAACCAAATTGAAAGCATCCATTGATATAATGCCCTTTTCCCCCGTTTAACGCCAAATGTGTTACTCCTGTTGTTACTTCTCATGATGGAGTCATCAACAGTACAAGGTACCGATAGGTTGGCATTTAACTTCCATGTTCAACAGTAGGTATGTAGAATATTAAGTTGCGCTTGTAACCCACTTACTGGATCACACATAAAAGTAACATCATCAGAAGAAACAGTTGATGTAAATCAGGGAGTAATTGTACTCCTCTACAACAAATATCAAAATCATCGGCAGCCAACTCATTGATGAAGTAGTAAATAGAATGAGGCTTAATACACATCCCTGTTTTAGTCCAATAGGACAACCAAAAACGCAGTACGCTAGTATGTCTGACAGTGTCTGAACCACATTATTGCCCCAGCTGCTCAGCCCTCCCTGCAATGTTAAAAATGTACACCTATTAGACTAGTATATTTTAGTCTCTTTCATCTTATAATCCCCTATTTATGGTATAGTATGACCAGAATTTTAGGAATATGTTTAATTGGATTTCTAGTATAAACAACCTTGACGGCTATCAAGCGCTTGGTTCATTCAAGAGAGACAACTCCGTTAATCCTTTTTCATTAGTTTGTGAAGAGTTATCACCCTTTGTTTACTTGCTAGCAGACGACATTTTCAGTGATCCTCAGTTTGGATGATTAAGAGAAGAGGAAGTTGATTTTAGAGTATTATAACAAGGACATCAGATCAGCTAAAGAGTTTTCAAGTAGAACAGGCATTACTTTGTCCACTGTTTATCGTGTATTGAAAAATATTGCAAATGGATATGGCATTGAGCACCAGGGAGGCGCAGGTAGGCCCAGAAAATTGACTGTCGGTGACAGGAGGCGGCTTGGTGTTCTTGTTTCTAAAAACAAACGGAGGAGTTTAGAAAACTTCAAGCTGATACGATTGATGGAGGGATTGTGGCTGTCTGTAAGGAGACAATTAGAACTGAGCTGCATGCAATGGGTGGGCAGAAAAGTCGAGGATTTCTATCACCGATCATGAAACCTGAACAAAAGGAGCAAAGGTTGAACTGGTGCTTACAGCATAGAAATTTTAAGTGGGACAATGTGATTTTCTCAGATGAAAGTTCTGTGTGGCTGTTTCCTAATACACTGAAATTCTGGACCAAACAAACTGAAAAACTTTGTATCAATGCCCAAAGTACAGTCCGAAATTTAACGTGTAGTGTGGTATATCTGTGTTAGGGGCAACGCCCCTCTGTGTATTTGAAGGGAATATGAACAGTGAGCTGTACACAGATATTTTCGAGGGAGATTTACTTCCATTTGCTGACGTGTTCTATGGAAATCTTTGGATTTTACAGCAGGACAACGACCCAAAACATCGTTCAAAGCATCCACAAGCCTGGTTTCGGACCCACAATATGACATTATTAGATTGGCCAAGCTATAGCCCTGACCTAAATCCAATAGAAATTGTGTTGGGACTTATGAAGGAAAGTGTCAAAAAGCAAAATCTGACAAATATTGCTAAAAAAAAGAAGAGGTGGTCCGATATTGGGGCATCAGTAGTATGCCCCGCCGCATTGAAGCCTGCATTGCTGCCCATGGTGACTTGACAAAATACCAACTGCTCACCTGTCTTTGAATCTGGAGTTATGTTCTGCTAATATTCCCATTTAATACGTGAGTAATGAGTGCAAAAAAAATAAAAAATTACATCTTAAAATTCTCAATAATTTCTGGTTGTATTGTATATACATGCTTAAAATTACTCTGGCTTCATGTACATTACTAGTATATATTTCCGGTATATCTGTTATTTAGCATTCACCTGACGAAGGGTAAGGAATAGCCCAGAAACGTTGTGTATACAATACAGAAGAAGTTGACATCCCTAACATTTTGTCTTATACTTGAATACCAACTTCTATATCCCTCTCAAGAACCTCAACAGTGAAAAGCATTTATGCATGTGTACTGACCTCCACTTTCCATGGATAGAGCGAGTTGCACGTGCAAATCGCTGAAATTAAGTAGCAGGTGGATTTCCATATTGACAATTTGAATAAAGATTGTGCCATGTGTAGCAGAATATAGCGGACGTTAAAGAATGTAATAATGACATTTCAACGGCCTGATCTGTTTTTCATACTGTTAAGACAGTTTGTAAAGCATTCAGTTGTATATATTTCAAAGAAATACGAAGCTTTTGCTACAACTTTTTGAGAAATAGTGTCACCAATAGCTTGACCCTTCATTAATGACGCTGAGTATATATTCAGAGACTAAGCCTTAGTCTAGATGTACGCTTGCTGTTACAGACGAATACATAAATCATATTCAACATTTTAACAGGTACAGGGATAAGAGATAAAATATTTATTGTGCAAACGTTCCACACAGAAACAGTAACAATATTCTAAAACTACATAAACAAAATATATCATGAATCATATATATATATATATATATGATGAGTAGCAAAACATATAATAATAGCACATTGTTTAGAACACGTATAAGTTCATTTCAACACATAGTCTACCTCCTGTTTGTTCTTATCTTGTTATTATTTTCTTATCCCTGTAGTTATAAGGATCATGTAGAGGATTATGTCTTGTGCATTGTTATACTTTTCACTCAAGTGTGCAAGTACTCCCAAATATACATGTAGCAGAGACATTTTTCATGTTTTTAATAAATCAGTTTGGTTTGGTTTGATAGAACTATTTTACAATTATTGAATATAAAATGGTGTTATAGTGTTTTATTGTTTACAAGTAAAATAAGAATAAAAATATTACATAAGTCATAAAAGGTCACTAAAAATATTGAAGGTTGGTGGTAGTGTTCTAAAGTTTGTGGTTTTATGCATATGTCAATCATATTGATATTTGGTTGTATTTGTCAAGTATTTCAGATGAATATCATTCATCTGAAACGTTCTTAATATGTTTAGTATTCACAAAATATGCTGGATCTAGAGTATGGTCTCATTCTGGATTATTGTTTATCACATGACCCTAATTCCTAGCTTTTAATTGGCTAATTTCAAATTCCCATAATTCCCAAGCACCAATATGAGGCACCCCAGTAGAAACACTTTAGCACAGCACACCACCCAGGCAACAAGGCAACAAGGTCTACTAAACAGCATCAAACAGGTTAGTTAAATACTTTAACACTAAATTATGCTTAAGTGTATTTGTTCTTTGACATCTCCATTAAATTAATTGCAGTCTAAATGTTATTTGGTAATTTGTAATATATGGTCATGTTGTAAACCTACTGAACTTGGTTAATTACCTTAAAGCCAAAGTTCATGTTGTATTGTATTATAACTCATGTAAAACCAAATAGCATTGTAAGTAATGTTCTGTTTTTTACAACCATTTCCCTCAGTTTTCTAAATGTATTTAAGTGCAATGGTTTTCTGTGTGTTCTGTGAGTGGAGAGCAGAACAAATTGTGAAAGCATTGTCATGTTGGTGAATGTTCTGCATGAGCAACCATGGTGCTCAGCTTTCCCTTTGTATGTGCTTACAATGGTTTTCTTTGCGTTGTGTGAACGTAGATCGTCAGTGACGGTGAATGTATTGCCACAATGATGAACGATGTTTGTAATTGGCAGGTCACATATGTATCAGCACAACACGGTCTAATCAATAAGGCTCTATTCCACAAATGGGTAAGATGTATTTGTATATGTCAATGTATATCCTTCTTTTCTTTATGTACACCTTTCGCGAACCTTTAAGGGTTACCAAATATTTATCTGGCTGTATGTCATGTTAATTGTGAACTTTATTGTCTGTCAGATATGTGTACATATTTTTGTAATTTAACATTATTTGGGCAAATGTGTTATTTGGCAATGAATTATCTCCCTTGGTGTCACAACCAACGTTGTGCATATAGTTTCATGCTATTAATATTTCCTTTAACAGTTTATAATGTGGTATAATTCACATGTGTAAATGTTAGACTACAGAATTAATTGTGGTAAGCTAATTGTGATACCTATGCAAAACATTATGCAATGTGTACATGTTTCTAAGAATTTTATGTGTGTTTCAGGGCTTGAAGTATGATATATAGTATCTGAATAAACCGCACCTCACCCCTACAGCGAGTCATGTGATCCTTTGACATTACTTGGCGTTTAACCAGCTGTAACATTTGTGATACTTATCATGTGCCTGTGTTAACGTCAACTGTGGTGTGTTAAACACACTGCTGTGCTCTTACACCAGAAACTCTGTCTACATTGACTTTTTATTCATTTTAAACGACAAGAATTTGACTTTTATATGTGTGCAGCAGTGAATCTACAGAGGTATTATGGTGTTTGCAATTTACAGATTCTGTGATATTATACATTGTCTGATTTATAGGATGTTTTAATATATATACTTGTATCTCAACACTGATATTGGTATATTTTAGGGGTGGTGAAACACAAAATGAACTTAGTCGTTGCCCATGTGTGTCAATTATTGCCCATGTTTATCTTATAGGTTCATTTTTGTGCCTGTGTGATGTGTGGATTTTGTATGTTTATCTTGTGACATGATTGGGTGATTGCACGATGAGGTGACATGAATGAGTAGTCCTTGTGTTGTAAATTCCTGCAGTCATTTTTTAAGGTAACAAGGTTCCTACTGCTATATCTTATTAATTCAAATACCTAAGGTTATCTAAGGTTATATTAACTAAATATTTATAACAGTACTCAGTTAATTCAATTCTTAACTACATTTAGCATTAACTATGTAGTAACATAGCTTACTTCAGGTCAATAACTGCCTTAGTAAATTTGTTGTTGCACGTTTCTTTCTTCTCACATAGTTAGGTACCCTCTACTCAACTAATTCGTCACATTGCCCTCTAGTCTGTACAGTTGTGCCAACTTTTATTTTAAATTTTGGTTATCTTCTTTATAGCTTTTAGTTCTTTTTTTTATAAACCATTCACATTGGTGAGTGTCATTCTGTGGCTAGGCAGTTGGGTCTGTTAGTCATGGAGGGAGTGTCGGGTATCAAGGAGGAGGATCCAGAACAGGGTGATCCGAAAGGGTCAGATTCTATGCCAGAGTTAGAAGATGATCCAGATCTCACTGGTCTTAGTGACACTTTGAAGCAGATGGGTGTAGTGCCTGTGGTAGATAGCCCTGAACATTTTCAGGATTGGATGGTTTCCTATTTACAGTCGATAGGGGAAGTTGTCGGGTGATACTCAGTCTAACCCTGAAGGTACTTTGGGCGGAAAAGGTTTTCAGCCTAAGCCTGATAGCAAGTCAGTAGTTACTTTTAGTCAGACTCCTAAATTGTCATCTTTCTTTGGTGAAGCTGGTAAAGGTGAGGCTCCTTATGATCTGTGGCGCTATGAGGTAGAGTGTCTATTGGTTGAGAGTGCTTATCCTAAGAATGTCATATTTGAGGCTGTTCGACGTTCTCTGAAAGGAAAGGCTGGTAAAGTAGCTTCACTCCTAGGTCCACAGTCTACCATTGATTCATTGTTAGCTAAACTTGCAAGTGTTTATGGTAGTTGTGAGGAACGTGAATCCTTGATGGCAAGATTCTATAGTGCTAAACAGATGGCAGAAGAGGATGTTTCTTCTTGGGGTTGCAGACTTGAAGATCTATATGCTAAGGCTAGACAGAGTAGCAAGTCATCACCAAGTGAGACTAACCAAGCCCTTAGAAGTGTTTTCTGGCAAGGTCTAAAACCAACTTTGAAGGATGTGTCTGGTCACAAGTATGATGCTATTGAGGAATTTGATGAGTTACATGTAGCAATTAGACGGATTGAGTTTGAGTTGAATGAGAGGAAGCCCCAAGAATGTTCCAAGAAGCCCATCCCCTAAAATGGCTGCTCGTTCTTCTGACAAAGATTACCAGGAATTGAAAGGCATGGTACAGCAATTAACGTCAGAGTTTGGTGCCATTAAAAAGCAACTAGCTGACATTCCTACCCTTACTCATAGTCCATCTCCTTCCGGATTTAGAGGAAGAGGCATACCTAATCGAGGCTCAATTTGTAGTCATGGCAGATCTAATTACTTGTCATCTTGGAACCATGTAGGACGAGGTCAAGTTAGTACAAGAGGTCAACCCAGATACAGTCCTATATACTTACCTTTACAAGGAACTGTTCCTCATGATGGCAGCCAGAGCATTGTTT